AAAGATTAATGGGGTTATAAGTTATAATTGTGGTTCTTTTTTGTTTTTAGTGTTGAAATGCAATTGGGGAATGATTAGTTGTGCGGTTTCTCAAAAGAATTTGTGGATTTCTTCATAAATAATTCAATTCTAAGCTATATACAATATAATTCAGCAGTTGCAATTATCATCACTATAACAAATATATGTAATTGTCACTTGAAAAACATTCCACAATGGGTAATAAGGCCAACCAATGTTCAACATAATGGGAAAATGGAAGAAAATAAAAAGGCTTTTGGAGTGCAACTTTTAAGTTTGATACTTCAATGTCCATACGTTTTTTTCCCACCAAAATGCAATAAATTTGGAAGAGAAAAATAAGCAAATGAACTTTCACAATTCACACCAATAACATCACTCTTTTCAATCACAAAGCCGTAGCAAATTGTTTTTGACTTGCAAAGTAATGCTAAAGAGACAACTGTTGGCTCCTTAGCATTATTGTTTGACTTGCATATTCTACTTTGACAAAACATTCCAATCAAAAGAATAAGTATTTGTTTTTTTTAATATATTTTTATGTCAATGTGACCCCAAAAAATAAGTGTATCACGCGATTGAGAAAATTTTAATTTATTTTTCTTAGATATTTAATTATGTGGTATCGTAAAATGACTTGATTCAGTTAAGTATGTCTTTGACCCGAGTCCAACAGTGTTAATGATTATACCAACGAAGGGTTACACTAAGATTTATAGAATAAGGCTTAGCTTGATGATATTTGTTTCTTGATTATAGAGAAGTATATTTTATTGAAACTCATTATTGAGAACAGTCTCTTTTAATTACAAAATATCTCTTAAGCATCAAAGATTCAAAGTGTTAAACCGGAAAACTCGATTTTTACATGTTGATTTAATTCAATTCATAGTTTGAGAAGTTTGGCGTGAGGCAGTTTGATTGAAGATCTCGATATTTCTCCCTAAATACATTTGAATCTGATATATCAAATTATTTTAGCAATAATACATAAAATATTCTCTTTACGTTAATTATACGCATGTTATTAATTTGAGGGTCATAATAATTGATAGGCACCTAGCATATGGGCGGCCCAAAAATAACAAAATATGTAGGCCCAACACGCACATGAAGCAGGCGACGGAGTGACAGCCTAGCCACAAAAGTCACAGTCGGCATAATGCAACGTGTCCAGCACCCATTCGGCGCCTTAGACAACACGTCAAATCAATAGTAAATTCAATAAAGTGTCACATTTGATTTAAAACTATTGTTAATTCATCTAACAAAAACAAAATGTTTAATATTATTTATACAATATGTATTATATAGTGACATTTGTGAGCTCAAATACGAATTTATATCCATTTAATTAAATAGGTTTTGTTTAAAACAGTTATATATATAAAACCTTTAATGAATTGTTCGTTCGAGAACAAAATCTATAGAACTATATCATTTTAAATAAAGAACGAGCTATTAGCAAACAAACTCAACTCGTTTCATAAACGAGTTCCAACTATTCAAAGAAGATAATCCTACTTACATATTATAATTTGTACGTAGTTTTAATTTTTTATATTATGGTAAAAGAAGATACATTTAAAGCATTTCATTTAAATAATTTCCAACTCAACACAAATGTATGTACATGATTATGTCCAAAATAGGTCGGCTGCTTAATTTGCAATTTGAACCCTCAAAATTTAACAATCAACACTTTAACCTAATCAATATTCTGTCACTAGCTGTCACTGTAGCCTCCTCACCCCCATCGTCCCATCCCTATAAATACTACCAGCAACACCTCAAGCTAGCCGCACAATCGACCTAAAAAAGAAAAAAAAAATTACAGTCTCCGGCGAAAACCCAAGAAGAATATGGCTCAAATTAGCATTGTGAAGGCCGCTTTAGTGCTAATGTGCGCCCTAGTCGCGCTGTCTTCATTCGCCGCAACGGCCAACGCGCAGGCTCCGGCGCCTGCGCCAGATGCCGGAGATGCGTCATCCCTGCCGGCGTCAGCAGCCGTCGTCGGGGCGGGGCTCTTTTTCTCCTTTATCGCACTGTTGAGGCATTGATTGATTTTTTTTGAGTGCTGAGGTTATTTTTGCTTTATCTGTTATTATTGTTGCTGTATTTGGNTACAAAAAAGGAAGAAATAAAAAAAAAAAATACAAACTAAAAAACAAATTGAAAAGAATATGGCTGATTTGGAGTAAATTTGATACAATCAATTGGTTAAAAGACAGTATCTTCACTTCGGGCCAAGAGCTACGACTTAGAGCATTTTACTGCAATTCTTTTTGTCTATACATGTTTGATGAATTCTTGAAATTGTGAACTAATGGACAAGCATTTTACTGCAATTCTTTTTGTCTATACATGTTTGATGAATTCTTGAAATTGTGAACTAATGGACAAGAAAGACAGCATTTCAATTCTGTACATATTTGATAAATTCTAGACGATGTAATATAAAAATCAGCTGCATACTCATCTCAAAGTCCAAACTACGATCTGCTGAAATGAGAAAACTGAGGTTTCACCAAATGGATGCAAATTGAAATGCAAATTGAAATGGAGAGAACATCCATTTGAGCTGAAAACTTTTGCAACTCATAATCTGATATATTAAACCTAAACACACATTTCTCCCATGCTTCGTTTGTAAGGATTTGAAAGATTGGGTTATCTCCTTTACAATTTAGTGACAAATCTCTTTTCTAAGCTCAAAAGATGATTTATTTTACACAGTCCTGTCTATGAAACTGGAAACAGAGCATGAAAGACTGAAGGACAGTGTATGTAACATGACAAGAAAGTTGACTAAACATACAAAATTAGAGATGCTCTTTAGATTAACATTGAAAAATATCTAACTGTGATTTGTATATATTTAGCTACAATTCTATAATTCATATTGACAGTGTAGAACAATGACATATATAATTTATAGTCGACACTCTTTTGAAATTCATAGTTCGTGAGATTATATGTGGAATATGACAAGTTTTAACTTAAAAGATAATATTTTAAAATAATAAAGAGAAGTTTTTGGCAAAAACCCAAAAGTAACAAGAGCTACCTAGAACAAAAACAATATCAATCTAGACATGGCCAAAAGGCGGGCGGGCCTGGACCCGGACGGGCCTGGCCGAAGGGTTGGGTTACCTCAACTCTGAACCGGCACGGACCTAGGCCGTGCCGGGTCCATGGCACGGCGGGCCCGCCCCGAGTCTGGGCCCGCCTTAAGTTTTTTCCTGGTCGTGGAAGACAATTTTCTGAAAAAAAAAAAAAAAAAAAGAAAAAAAAAGAAAAATTCAAAAAGAACTTGTTTTTCCGGCCCGGCACGGCGGGCCAGTGTCGTCGAAAAGAAGGCCCTGGACTGGCCCGGTTGAAATGGGAGTCGGGCCCGGACCCGTGGTCAATGGGTTTGACCGGGTCGGGTGACCTGTGGTCATGTCTATATCAATCTGTACTTAAAAGCATTTTGTTTTGATTTAATTATTTTTGTTGGTTCAACTCAAGTTTGCTCTTACTAGAGCTCGTTTAAAGCTTGTTTGACTAAACAATATCTGTTTGTACGTAAGTTTTTTTTATCTGTTAGGGTGTGATTAGATATAGGTTGAACCAGTTTTTGATTGGTTTTTTTTAATCATAGTTAATTTTGAAAATGTGGTATGTTTAGTTGTTAGTGGATATTTAAGTTTAAATTAAAATCCTCCCTATATATTAATTCAGAAAGGTGTTGAGCCTATGTGGCAGACTCGCATGCTTCGGGATCCTATGTGGCAAAATTACATGCTTCGTTAATAGGCTTGGGTAAATTTAATTTACTTCTAATCCAAAAATATTTAGGTTCAGATTATCTATAAATATGTTGATTATTTATGGTAGGGGTGGGCGCGGTCTAGAACGGTCCTAGATTTGACTTGTCTGGATACCGATCCCACTTTCATAAATCGGTCCATGAACTTTCCGGGATGAGGCACCGTCCCCACCCATGTAATATATGGGTGTTGTACTAGTATTATTTAAAATAAAATAACTAAAGTTGATTTGATGTAAAAGTAGGAGAGAGATGATTGAGAGTGATGATTAGTTAAATTATGCGAGTGGATGAGTAGTGATTAAAATTGATGTGATATAAGAATGATTGACTAATATTATTTAACAATGTTTTAAATATTGTACCGTACCGGTCGGTATTACCGGTAATACCGGATACCGGTGGTCCAACCGGTACGGTTACACTCTAAATACCGTTTTGGCCAAAATACCGGTTTATAGCGGTTTCATACCGGAAAATACTGGTTTTACCGGCAAATAACAGCCAAAATACCGATCAAAATACCGGTTTATGCCATTTTTTTAAAAAAAATATTTTTTAATATATTTTCATTAATTTATTTATATAAATTGAAAGTTCTACACATACTTTTAGTATGTTTATATTGTTATTAGATGTTAATTAATTTTAGTATTATTTAAAGTTAGTTTTGTACATCATTTATATTATAATAATAAATTAATTTAATATTTATTGAAATCGGTAAAATAGACGGTAATACCGGTTGAACCGCATACCGTTGGCTCGTCCGATATGCTTACCGGTACGGTATTTAAAACACTGTTATTTAATTATATTGATAATGTTGGTGATAGTTGGGTTGGTTATAGTTGAGATAAATTTGAATTTTGATTGGTTGAATTCATATTCAATCACACCCTTAGTTCAACCCGACCTATTATTCAGTAATGCTCGAGTTCGACTCATTAATATTAATAAACGAGTCTAGTCGAGCAGTTCAAGTGTGAACGCGACGCTGTATACTGAACATACAGCGTCGCGTTCACACTAGGGACGGTACACACTTGAATTGATTAATTACGGTACCGTCCCTAGAACATACAGCGTTGCGTTCAGACTAGGGACGGTACCGTAATTAATCAATTTAAGTGTAGAATATACAGCGTTGCGTTTAGGGACGGTACCGTAGTTAATCAATTCAAGTGTGTATCGTCCCTGAACATACGTGACGTTCACACTTGAATTCAACTAATTACGGTACTGTCCCTAGTGTGGTACATACGTGACGTTCACACTTGAATTCAACTAATTACGGTACTGTCCCTAGTGTGGTGTATGTTGAGTAACGCAAGAACTTGATTTCAGTTGTCGGAGTCAACATATATGGTGGGATTAGTATTTTACCTATTGTAAAGGGGCGAAATACGAATTAAGGGAGAGTTCAGTCTCTTCTTCCAGCGAAAGCAGTACAAATTTAGAGATGCCAGCAGCAAAGCGGCAGAATTTCGAGCTTAATATAGGGCATGCAAGAGCACATTTTCCTTTCGGTAAAACGCTTCGAGCCCTTCAAAGAACTCCATTGGTTTTTGCTTGAGATCCTCAGGTAAAGTAAATATGATATCTCGAAACCCATTTTTTAAAAATCCTGTTTTCGTGTATGGAGTCGTAGATTTTGAAACCCTTGATTTCTGTTTGATCGATCTTCAATCTGATATAAGTTTTTAGTTCCTTGTGTAAGATTTCCAGGGATTGGTTTTTGTTCGTTATGGCGGAAAAAAGAATTAGGAAAAGAAAAAGATCTTGCGTTCCATATATATAGATGCTAATTTTTTGCGTTAATTTCTTGATTTTCGACAGATGATTCGTCTTTTTATGCACGCCATACAGTTTCACGACGCATTTAATTTTTTCTTTAGGTGAAAAAATAGAAGGAAATTAAGAATGACTCAACAACCATCAGTGGTGTTAGCAACTGCAAGCTATGATCACACTATTCGGTTCTGGGAAGCTAAGAGTGGCCGCTGCTATCGAACTATTCAGTACCCTGAATCCGTATGCATTGAGGAGCTTTTTATGTGTGTGTGTATATGTGTGTGTGTTTGTGCTTTTTCTGTCACTGAGTGATTGAAAAAATCTGAAATGTGAGTATAGCTGGTACTATCATGATTTTGAAATTCTGGTTATATAAGCTGAAAGTTTATATCTTTTATGAATCCGATCATCTTAGCGTGAGTTTTGCCTTTGAATGCACTGGTTTTGTTTATGCGAAATGTCCATGGAGTAGTTGTTAACCCGCACGTATGTGAAGTATTGTGCGCCATATACTGTGGATGTTAAAGTTTTCTAATTGTTAGTTTGGGAATTTGATTTGTTCTTTCTCTTCCGACAGCAAGTAAACCGACTCGAAATTACCCCAGATAAGCGCTACCTAGCTGCAGCTGGAAACCCACACATTCGGCTTTTTGATGTCAATTCAAACAGCCCCCAGCCAGTATGCACCTGCCATTTGTTCCTTTCCGGGTTTTTTTTTTTTTTTTTTTCGTTGTTAAGTTAAACAAGGAAAAAAGCGTAAGCCTTGTTTGGTTTAACTTCTAATCAGCAAAGTCTTTTCTCTTGACAGGTGATGAGCTATGATTCACACACCAATAATGTAATGGCTGTTGGATTTCAGTGTGATGGGAATTGGATGTATTCGGGTTCAGAAGATGGCACTGTAAAGATTTGGGATCTTAGGTACAGAAAGTTCTAGCACACCGATAATATTTACCTTTTTGTGTGCGTATGTGTGGGCTGGCATTAGGTATTAATATCTACTTCCGTTCTCAATTGTATAGGGCACCAGGTTGCCAGAGGGAATATGAAAGTCGAGCAGCAGTCAACACTGTTGTTTTGCATCCAAACCAGGTTGAATAAGCCTGCATTCTCTTCTAAAGTAGTATATTTAGTGAAAATTGTACAGTTAAGGTGCCATTAAGTGGAAATCTGGCGGTAACAATTCTCTTTTTGTCGGGACTTGCATTAGCATTACCTTCCATAATCATCCTTTTTTTCTTTCCCGCCAAAATAATGTTGGTTGTTTCATGCAACTGCCCTTAAGGCCCAAATTTAACCCGCTCTTCTTTGTTTCATTCTCTATATAGATCCATTCTTAAGTGTTATAAATACTGTAATCACTTTCTTGGGCAAGATACTTTGTTTGAATGCTGAATTAAATGCACCTTCTGTTATGTTATTTTTATTTTCCAAAAATTGCAGACCGAACTGATATCTGGGGACCAAAACGGTAACATACGTGTCTGGGATTTGACAGCAAATTCTTGTAGTTGTGAGCTGGTATGTATCCGATCTGTTGTTGTGGGGCCTCTTTTTATTTGCATGAACTACATTTATTGTTGAATGATTTGTCTAACTGAAAGCATAACACACTATTTTGTGCACAAATGAACATTTTCTTTTGATTGTGCATGTAGCTTCAAAAACTAAAACTGATGTATAATTACAGGTCCCGGAGGTGGACACAGCTGTGCGCTCGTTGACTGTGATGTGGGACGGGAGTTTAGTTGTCGCGGCAAATAATCATGGGATATGCTATGTGTGGCGTTTGTTACGTGGGACCCAAGTCAGACATTTACATAAGCTTTTGTGTGTTGATGTGATTTACTTCTGATTTTGTTGATACATTTGTTTGTGTTCACATGTTTGTTTATGCCTTGTTTGCAGACTATGACCAATTTCGAGCCACTTCATAGGCTTGTGGCTCATGATGGCTACATCCTTAAATGTCTTCTCTCCCCAGAGCTTTGTGAACCTAACCGGTTAGGATGGTTCTACAACTTCTGTTTTTTTTCTCTTGTCCTTTCTTGCTTTTCTTGTATCAGACATATTATATTGGGAAATAGTTCTTAGATTTAGCCTAATTTCCTAAGTTACAAATATTCACTTGAGGTTTGCATTCAATCTTATTGCGGGATTTGCAAAATAGGAAAAAATGGCAAGTGATTTATTTGCAAAATTAGTTTGCAACTAAATTTCTAGTTTTAATGATTTCCAGGTATCTTGCAACTGCATCAGCCGACCATACTGTCAAAATATGGAATGTGGATGGTTTCACTTTAGAGAAAACTTTAGTGGGTAATGTACTCGACTCGTATAAGCAAGTTACAATTTATATATTTGCTAATCTCCAATATAAGCAAGTTACAATTTATATATCTGTAATCTCCTATCATTTATAAATTTTAGTCGGACTCTTGTATAATCGATCTCATTGACGTATTTTTCAGGGCATCAGCGCTGGGTGTGGGACTGTGTTTTCTCCGTAGATGGTGCTTTTCTAATCACAGGTATTTTACATGTGATATTTAGCGAAATAATCTTTCGGAAATTATATTGCAGCCTTTATCGGGGAAGGAAAAAATTGAAGTACAAAGGAAAAACAAAAACCAAAATTTAATGCTGTAACGAATGAAAGATCAAGTTGTAGACTTTTGTAGTAAATCACATTTCAGAAATTTTCCCGTCCCTGAAGCCAACCCAGATTGCATTTAGCTACTATATTTCTACATTTTTCTCAAATTTTATTCATTTTAACTTGAAAATCAATTTAGTTTATCGTATAGGTATCAATTTAGTTTATTCATCATGCGCAGTTAAACCCTTATGAAATTTCCAAAATGCAGCTTCTTCTGACTCGACTGCAAGATTATGGTCTATGGCAAATGGCGAGGAAATAAAAGTGTACAAAGGACATCAGAAAGCAACTGTTGCTTGTGCTCTTCATGATGGCACTGAACCTTCATGCTGAATATATACAATGACAAGCCTTGTCAATCGTAACTCCGTTTTACATCAAAATATTCTGCTAATTTTCCCGTTCTTGATAAAATATTAGACTACTGTGAGGCTTTGCTTTCCTCCTGTACATATGGTGTTTCATTTCATGTTTGTACATTAAAACATTTGTTTTTTATTTTATTTATTTTGCTTGGCTTTCAGAGGACGATATGATTGTGCGTATCTACCATTAGGGGTCTTTTCATTCATCTCTTGTCGAAAATCTGATTTCTTGATGAAAATTGTATGCCAAGACTGATTTGTTCTCTGAGTTGCTCTATTCATTCTTATACTAGGAAATGCGTATCTATCGTTAGGGTTTGTTTAATCCATCTGTTGTCAAAAATCTGCTCTCTTGATGAAAAATGTATAATGCCAAGACTGATTTGATTGAGTCTCAGATTCATTCTTATGCTAGAAAATGTGTTCTCAACCCGTACATTTTTGTCGAAAAATGAAAACACCACCACAGAAAACAGACCACTAAACAAGCTTTTCAATATGTCACAACTTCAATAAAAGCAGAAAGGAAATGAACATAAAGACCACTTCATGTGCAATACAAAATTTCAGTAGCTTTGTTCCTACAATTCCCAATGTAAAAAGAGTCCATAACACAGAATTCAAGCTAAACCTGAAGTAAAACCCCCACAAGTCATCGACACGGCTAATAATGGATTAATAATCACATTGCATGCGGGCCCGTGCAAAAATCGAGCACGAATCAAATTTCAGTGTTACAATATTACAGTCTACAGAGATAACCAAACCGATTAATCACATGAACAATAAACGTATATATGGCCTGGGAAAAAAGGGGGGACTCGAATTGGTCAGACAAAGGCCAAACGGGTTTTACTGCTGTTTATCTTGTGTTTCGACCCCACTCTTGGGCTTAGCTGGTGCCACCTTGGCAGGATTCGACCGTTCGGACTGAGAGAATTGGATCAGGATTTGCATAAGAAAAGTGATGACTGCTAAAGCTATGACCGAAAACGAGATGCCTTTCCATGAAGAGAACAGTGAGGACCACTGGAAAACTCGGAGGGCACCCAAGATTAGTAAAGCCGACCAGGAAATGACAACCTGTTTATCGCAATAAACGACTTATATCTGATTCAAATACGGACATAATCCGAATATTAAAAGTGGGTTAATCACAAAATAATTACCGAAAAAACGGAATGAAAAATGATATTTCAAAATTGCTACTGCATCCTTAATTATTTGTTTTTATTATAAATTACAAATTCTAAATGGGGGAAATTTGTGATTTTGAAACCTAACATGAATTTTTTGTAAGGTGGCGAAACCTCGGATAATATAGGTACTTACCAAAAGGGATTTCACTGGGCGTCCAGTGTTTTGCAGTTGTTCACCGAAAGAATCCTCAGCTATATGCTTGTCCAATAGCTTGTCCTGTTAAGAGAAGTAAACCGAGTGATTGATTATTAATGAGCTTCATGTGTATGAAATATATTTCCTTTAGTCCATAAAGTGTGACATTCAGGGAAAAGTATTAAAGAATGCACCTTGGCCACAAATACATCTCTACACCATTGAGCAACTGCATCGTCCGTTTCTGGCAAGTCCTTCATCAAGTGTCTCTTGAGGTGAACATGAACCTAAATAAGTAAATATCATGTGTGAACATAAGAAATTTTCGGAAAATAGAAAAAATAGAATATTCGAGTGACAACTTTCTGTCTGAGAGAATGTAACTCAAAACACTTCCTTGAAAACAACAAGTGTTGAATAATAATATCGAGAATATAAATGAAAAAGGGGAAATATTTTGCCAAACTAACCACAGAAGATTGTCCTTTGAAGAGTCTTAGCATGGTTGGTGGTGGAGATGCTTTTGGAATAGCAACGGTCACATCATAAATGGCCGGAACAAATGAGCGCATATGACTTACTGCTGTAACAAAGCCCTGACAAGCACCAAAAGGGAAACTGTGTCGTACATATTCGATGAACAAAATTACAAGAATTCGAGGAACAAAAAAATTGCAACAGAATATACACAAATTCTCAGTTTCCTAGTACGGATAGCAAAATGAAGTAGCATTTGGAACCAAAAGGTTAAATTACCAACTTTCATGTTTGAATCTTCCATTTCGTTTTTTTTTTCTTTGAAAAGAAGTTTCAAATCCCGGTGTTAATATGTTTTAAAAACTATAATTAGGTCAAGATGGAACCTTAGTTCGTGGAATCAAAACATTTTTGGGAACAGGTAACCCAGCTGAGGATGCATATTCTTGAGCAGCTAAAAGTTTTGCCTGAGTGAAGCGAGTACCCTCGACAAAAAGTGCCAACCAAAATGGTCGAGGGAAATCCCTAAGTCTTTGAAGTCCCAACTGCAACAGAAAAAGGTAAATACAC